GGGGGGGGGGGGGGGGGGGGGGGGGGGGGGGGGGGGGGGGGGGGCAACAAGCACGCGAGAGGAGAGGTTGAAGGAGAAAACTTCGCGGTTGTTCGTTTGCTCCATGTATCTCAGAACATGGCCATCATGCATAAAAACGACCTTGAAAGTCGGAGGTATGCAAGGCTCGATTCATAGGCAAGGGAAGAATAGACAAGGCCTTCGCAAAAAAAAGCCCAGCAAACAAACAGCATATTCCCCCTCGCCCGACCTGTTCATCCAGGCCTTCCGCCGTCGCCCACCACACACCACGTGCCGCACATACTTCTTCGCCAACACAGTCTTCCTCTGGACAAGTAGTCCGATCTCCTGGTCCCGCGGTCGCAGGGGTGAACACACTTCCCGACCTCAATTTCTTGGCTATTGTTTATCAGGGTAACCACGAGGGACGAGCGAACCGAGTTCTGGGCACTCTCGACGCTAGAAAAACGAAGCGAAGAAAGGAGAACGAATAAACAAACTTACCTGCTGCGAAAGCGCCATCGTTTTGCGTCCGAGTCAAACCGCCGCCCCATTTTTGATGCCCACAGAATGCGCCCAAACTTGCCAAGAGCATCCTTGAGCACCCAGCTCATCGCAGCTGCCGCGCCCAACCTCTTGGCCTTGATGCCCAGCGCGAGCAACAGCGCCTGCCCCCAAATGCGACAAGGAAACGGAGGTTGAGAGCACAAAACCAAGGACAAGAACCAAATATTTTGAACACGAGAAAATGAAGGGGGAGCGGAAGGGGGGGGCGGGGGGCGGGTGCAGATACGGCACGGCAGACAGCAATGGCGCTCTACTGATAGCGTGTTCCCGCAACCACCTGCAGTATCTGTGTGGGGCAGGGGCAAGAGAGTCGCCGCCAGATGAAGAGAGTCGATAAGAACGTCTCTCCTTCTTTGTCTTCCATGGGTGGTCTGGACAAGCACCAAGGCGCGCCGCCACGGCAAGGCCACAAGCCAAAGCCGTGGTGCAAATGCAAACATCACGGGGGCGCGTTTGATGCCCAACAACAGCCAAAGACGATGGCAAATACCTTGTGTGCGAGCTTCAGAACAGCCTTTTCCTAATCACCTACCTAAATGTGCCAACATCGCTCCACCACCTCTTGGGCAGGCAGTCAATCCAGCCGTGGCGAAAAAACCACCGCTTTCGATTTCCACAAGACCAACCCCCGCCCCACACCCACCCACCGACCTGCGTGCCGAAAACGTTGATCGTCCCAGCGACGAACCTCTGGAACATCCTCCAGAAGGTGAAGTGGTAGTAGTCCGGCGTCACGTCTTCGGGGATGAACCAGTGCCGCAACAGCAGCTGCAGCCCGCCCACGGCCCCCCTTACCCTCTGCGAGTTGCTCCTGTCCCGCAACGAGTCCGCCTCCACGAAACGCTCCTTGCTCTGTATTTTTATAATTTGCAGTTGGCGGTGGTGGATGTGTTGTGTGAGGGAGGGGGCCAAGGCGGAAGCGTTGAAGATGGAGGAGAGAGAGGCCAGGCTGAGGCTAAGGCGGGAGCATTGAAAATGGAGGAGACAGTGGCGGTTCCTGTTGTGTTTTATTCGTTCCACTTGTTCTGTTGGAGAAAAAGAGAGGGTGACTGCGTTGCGGCCGACGTTTGGCCTCGTTCAACAGACGGGTTGGGAGATGGATACTTTGATCGTGATGCTGATGCCCAGGGTCGTCCTGCCGGGCGACCGCGGCGTGCGTGACTGCTGGACAGAAGCAGGAACAGTAAGTACGCATTGCCACACCGCCTCACCCTTGGGAAGGGGAAGTCAACACCCTGTTGGTGCAATGGAGTTTTAATACGCTATGCACGGTGAGAAATATGTGGACAAGACAGTGCGTGAATGTGTTTCATCAACATATTTACACTTTCGAATAGCCGCAATCAACCATGGTACTTGTAGTTCTGCCAATCATGACACGTGTATGCATACACAACAGAGCGGGCACGGATGGTATTCACGTATAATAGTGTAATAGTACATGCATAGTGGCCAGGCAGGTCCGCTAAAATAGATTGGAGTTCAGCACGCGCTTGAATTTGGCGACAGGGTCATGCCTGCACTACCCCCGGGCCTCAAAGTCTGAAAAAAAGGGGCCAAGCTTACTGGCATTTCCGACTGCAATTCTCCGCCGGTCTCCGCGTGTGGTACCACAGCACACAGCCGCAGGCTGCTCGTTTCCAGGGCCAATTTTGGATGCTTGCCCTCCGGACAGTTCAAGTTGGCAGGACGGCTGTTGACGTTGAGACGGCTGGAGCCATTTGCTCTCGTGATTCCCACCGCTCCACCCTGAACAATTGCCTCAAATGCGCCAAACTCTAGAATCATGGATAGGCCACTCCAGCTGCTGTGTAGTACAACAGGGAGGGCTGGCTACACAAGTTGTATGATGTTGGTTCCCGCCTTCTTGTGTCTGCGGATGCATGTACGCCTTCATGCGGTTTCAAACGTACGGTACGAACGGGATACTACCTTGCTGTCAACGACTACACACACGTCATAGCAGTTTTCTCCCGTGAACCGAGGTCCCCCTACGGACAACAAATTTCTCACCTCATCCCAGACTATCTCCGTCCAGGCGGGCCCTTCCTGCTCCTTCAAAGTCCAACCACGGCCGCCGCCTTTTGCGCCCCCTGCCTTGTCCTTGTCGCCGCTTGGTCCCCCGTTTCTGCTGCCGTCGGCTGTGCCTTCAACAGAGGGCCACGACGCCACGGTCGAGCTCAACAAGGAGCTGCCTCGCCACAAGTCTTGCGCGAGGGAGGCTGGCCCCGCTGGCCGTCGTGAGAAACCCCATCGTGGCGGAGGTCGCGCTCTTGCTGCTGCTGTCGGTGCTGCTGTTGGCCTGCTTGAACGGACCGAGTTGCGGCCTCGTGCGTTGGCTGCTCGTGCTAGTAGCACTGATCCCAGCTTCCCCACAACCAGCGCTCCCGCTGTTCTCAAGAGCAGGACGACCAAAAAGGCCGCTCTCACCGTTTTTCTCTCGCGGCCCCCGCTCCTTCGCATGGTCTCTGTTCGGGTGTGGTCAGCTGAAGCTGCTGGTGGTTGTGGCAGCGGATGTTTCAGAACTTCGACAGACGCGCGTGGTGGCAACGCTCTCTCAGGTCCACGCTGATGAAAACAAGTGAAACGAGCCGGGGTGGGGGGGTGCTCACTCTTATCCCTTGAGCCCCAGGTTTTATGGCCGCCGCACCCTGCACCGCACACTTAGTGTTGCACTTCGCACGCTGCGCTGTCGACAAATGTCAGCTAGAGCGTCAAGGCTCCGGCTTGAGGAAGAGCTCAGGAATATCTCGGAGCAGGAGGAAAGGCTTGATGGGGAAGTGAACCAGCTCCTACAGGTATGTGCGGAGGTGTCTTGTGGATTGTTCGCGACAGCCTGGTTGTTGTTGTTCCGCCTAGCAGCACGCCGCAGCAGGAAGGCGCAGGTTGAGCAAATGTGCAACCTAAACTACGGGTTTTTGATTGTTTTACTGAAAAGGGTGCGAGCAAGCCCCCTGTGTGGTGATTCACGTGTTTGCCTCTCAACCTGTGCCCTCTTGCGATTGCATCCCCACCACCGCGGCCCCTATGCTTACAGCAGTACCCAGAACAGACGAAGGAATCCCCCCGCACGTCGGGTTCCCTCTCTCGCCACCGCCTAGTTAACAAGAACAGCTTCATGTATCTATCTCGTTTCGTCCAGACGCATGGCGCCGCCCCACGAGATGCTCGTTGCTTGGCGTATCGTATGTCACGACTTCACAGATGGTCAGGCTGTTTCTGGGTTCACATTTGCAGGACCACGCCCGGTGCCGCGCTACGTGCGTAGCATCAGCTTTTAGTCCCGCGTTTCCGAAAGCATCCGTGGTCCGCGTAGCTCCAGCCTTTGTCCACATATTGTACGATGGGCATGCATGTGGTCCAAGTCACAGAGAGGAGAAAAGCCGTTGCTCGTGAGAGCAGCGAAGCTGCTTATTTTTCGAGTGTGCGGCATTCCCACGTGCATCGATGGGTTGCGCCGTTGACGCTGCTGCACTGCCCCATATCGAAGCGTGTGGGCGTCGTGGTTTAGTCCACCGCCGTGGAGGGGGGGGAGGAAGGCGTATGCCTTGCAATGGCGCGAATACCTGTAGCAAACTTCACAAGGCAGCTTCAGCAGTCTGAAGCACAGCCGTGAAACAGATATTTGGCATCAACGCCACCCCGTGCCTAGAACCCTTATAAGCAGCTCAAAGGCGTCTAACTGTCGCTGTTGTGAAGCAGACGTCGTGATCATGTATGGCCTAGTCTGCCGACAGTGAATGGCATCGAGCCGTGAGAGTTGCGAATACAAGCACGCTGCTGTGTAATGGAGATATATTTGGCAGCTGGAGGTGAGGTGCCCCGCAACTGTCCTCTCTCTACCCCGCTCGAGATCATGGTGTTCACCCCCATACCCCGCACGACTGGCGCTCGTCCAACTTGCGGCCACTCATAGTGGCCAATACGCTACGAGAGCTCATGCACACACCCAAAACCGACACATGTTCGCTGTTTCGTGCCGCCGACATGATGGCTGCGACATACTCCATACCATGACAACAGCTCATGCGCGACCGAAATGCCTGGCCTTGTCCCGCCCTAGACCTGTCTCTCAATTCTGGGCTGGTTGTAAAAGCGTGCCAGACCAGAAGGACGGCAACAAAGCCACACACGAACACACACCCTCTTCAGATCGTTGCCTTTAGAACATTTTTTTCTTTTCAACCGCACTGAGACTGACGTCGTTTCAGTGGTTAGCCGGTTGGCGCGGTCGACCATATTCACAAAGACACACACGCGCGCGAGCGCACTCGTGTCCCCGTTGCAGGCGAAGGCCGCGGCCACGGTCCCGGGCGCACCCGAAGAAGTTTCTCAAGCGGTGGCACTGTCGAACGGTCACCATCCTCCGAAAGCTGGCGCAGCAGCCGCAGCAGCAGCGCCGACGGAGGTGGGGGGGGGTGCAGACGCCAAGACTCCTCAAGATGTAGATAACGGAATGGTTGTTGTTGTTGCCGCGGGTGGGGCGGCGTCGGGCGGGGAGGGGGGCCTGGCGCAGTGTCTAGAGGAGCTCTCCGGGAGCGTTCCCGACTTTCCGGGCTTGGAGGAGAAGGCCAGCGCTTTGCTGGTAAGGAAGAAGAGAGACCAATGCACAACAGTAGGCGGCACGTTTAGTTTCGTTGTGATCTTGCGTGTTAGCACCATCGTTGCATGTGCTGGTTGAACACCCACCCGTGTTCAAGGGGGGATGCAGAGGGGGCGTATTGAGGGGAGGTGGGGAGGTTGGCTTTGCCGTTGAGAAGCGTAGCAGGCTTGTGCAGGCGATGAATTGAGGCAACACGGCAAGTGGCTGGGGGAGAGCAGCAGGGCCAAATGTTCAAATCGACCTGCTACTGCTGTCGGATGTAGCTGTTGCTTTTGACAAGCGTGATAACTTTAGTGAAATCGGAAAATGACGATAGTGATGATAACGTCAGTGTTGTTGCTTCGAGTTCTTGCGGCGTTCAGGCGCAAATTGAGGATGGACACGGGATGGCGGAGCGCGTGAGCCGATCTGTGAGGCGGCTGGACGACATCCAGATGCGGGTACAGCGCGCCTTGGCGCTTGTGGAAGACGTCATCAACCTAAGGGGATGCGCCGAGGTGAACCGATTCATGACGGGGGGGGGCGTACTCATTTGTTGCTTGCCGTAGTCATTGTGACCATTGACCAATAGTCGTGCATGCCGTAGTCGTTAGACCATTGACCTCGCATCCCTACAAAGCCGGGACGGAGCACGCCGGGTTCTCACCGGACCAGGCTCTCACATCACCAAGCGCGAAGCGCCGTGAGGTATTCGGTGAGTCGCATGGAGGGTGCGCTGCATCCTGCTGAGGGTGTTCCGCATCTTGTGCTTACTTCCTTGCGTACGGATGACAGCTGCGTATGACTTAATTTATTTTCTGGTGTTGTCACTTCCAGAGACAGTTGCAAGCACTGCTGTGCAACTGCCTCGGGGGTGCTTGACCATTTTAACACAACGTGGTGCGATCATCCCCCTTGCGCGGAGTGAGGGTTGTCGACTCCGCACAACATGATCTACTCGACCACCATTTTGGCTACCGCAAACAAAAAAAAACAGAGGTAAGAAAACAAACGGTAACCTGGTTGCCGAGTTCACGAAGCGACTTGGCTTGTTTTACAACGTCGTTGCCAAGCGACGAAAACCCAATCCCGATGGCAAACACCGGGGCGTGAGGGGGAGAGAGGGGGCGGAAGGGTGGTGCGTGGGGGGCGGACATTGGTCTCAAGAATAGGACGGCCGTGTCTCGCATGGCCCGGCGACCGGTCAATAGGAATAAAGCTGGCTTATTTACTTTTCCACACCGGGACTCCTTTTGACCCCCCCCCTTCCCCCCCCCTGGTGGAACTTTGGCCGGCTTTCCTGCGCTCCATCTCCGTGGGGATGGGCGGTCAATGACCCCAACAACAACTGTGAGCAAACTAGTCTAGCTCATACCCATTCCCCGCACGCTTACACTTGAGCGATTTCCTTTTTTTTTTCTATTTGTCGGTGTTGTCGCACCTTCTGAGTCTCATTCGTCGATTTCATCGCCCAGCAAACCCTATCAATCGAGAATCCGTTGCATACACAGTCTACGTTTGGCTAAACTACCCTGCTCGCCCTGGCGCGCGCGTTTGTGCGCGCAGGGAGTGCGCGCGGCCGTCCAAGCCGGCGACCTTGCGGAAGCGGCCACGTACGTCCGCAGGTTCCGGGAGATCGATGCGGGGGCGCTGGCTGACAGCGGCGAGATGGTGGACATGGACGAGGCCGTCCGGGGGTGAGAGCTTCATCAGTGGCCAGAATTTTGTCGTGTCCTCCCCACACACATGGCGTGGCGGTCCGTAATGCCGTGCCGCGCGTGCTGGAAGTTATGGTGTCGTCGGGGTCTCTGTGACCGTTTTGGTGAATGGGCTGTTGAAGACTGTATGTTGGGGAGGGACGAGTGTGTTAACCCTGTCGAGTACAGCGTACCACTCGATAGCATGATGCCCGTGTCAATTTTGGCCGTTGTGGTCTGCGTGCTTTCTCATTCGTGTGTGCGTGTATTGATGACGGAGAAGAGGATGTTGTGTGCTTTTGCGGTGGTTGCGTTGTCGTCGTATACAAGATAACAGCTTGTGGAGTGTTTCATCTTGGAAGTTTGTCGATCCGTTGGCGCCGCTTGCGGGGGCTCTTGAACAAGCGCTGATCCGTATCGATGAAGATAGACGACTTTGTTTCGAGCGACTGCCACCCGTCAGTCTTTCAACCCTCCCCAGTTTTCCGAACAACTTCTTCCGTGTTCCACATTTTCAATGTGCTGTGTTCGACGGGATTGTTTCTTTGTTGTCGGCGCTTAACGTTACAGGCTGTCGTCGGCGGTGCTGGAACGGTTCGAGACTGCCGTGCTGGACATGGACGAGCCGGGGATAGCCGCGGCCTGTCCCCTGCTGGCCCCGCTTGGCCTGGCCACGCGAGGCCAGGAGCTGTACCTGGGCTTCGCGCGGCGAGCTCTGGAGGCGGAGCTGGAGGCAGGGGCCGGCGACGGGTCGTTGCCCGCCACGCAAAGCCTTCCTGCGATCTACAACACCTCGGCGGCGTTTTTGCGGAGGTAAGGACGCAGCGGTCGATCTTCGGTTCGTGTTGTCTCTCCGCTTCGTTGTGTATCGTTTTTTTTTTGTGGTGTAGTAGTGGATTCGTTGTAAATGTCGCGTCGGGGGTGATGTTCTCGTCGGTCGCTCCTCGCCTGCCTCTGCGTTAGCCTCTGCCTTAATTTTGACGATGGAGGAACGTTTCCACCAGTGTACGGTCCACGGGTCGCACGGCGCGCTTGGTTGTGTCCGGATCCTTCGCGCGCTGCTTGTCCCCTTTGCACCCGGTGGTCACCTACGACGTCGCGAGTATGCGACTTACACAGTGCCGAAAGGGATCGAGGAATGCCTGTTCACGGTCAGCGCCGCCGGCCAGACGTACAAGCAGACAGATCGGTTTGTGTACCTCGGACGTACTATCTCCACGGACGGGAAGGCCGACCGGGAGATCACGAGCCGCAGCTGCCGAGCGTGGAAGTGCTACCGCCGGAACAGTGCTTCGATGTACGACAGGCGACGGGCCGACCGCCAGCTCAAGATCCGGCTTCTCCAGGCTGAAGTGGTGGAGACTCTCCTGTATGGGTGCGCCTCGTGGAGCCTAACAGCGGAGCACTACACGAAGCTCAATGGGACCCACCGCCAGTTCCTCACACGGTGCATCGGCTGGAGCAAACAGAAACGCTCCGACCGCCCCCTGTCCTATGCCTAGGCCCTCATCCAGGCAGGCTGCGAGGAAACTATCGAGGCCACCGTGCGCAAACGGAGACTGTGTTTCGCGGGCTTTGATATGCGCATGGAGGACAGCCGCCTCCCCAAGCGCATGCTGTTAGGAGCGATGGCGGGGGGCGTGGGATACCGGGGCGGGCAGGAGAGCGACTGGGTGTCTCGTCTAGGAGAGGACCTCGTGGCCTTCAACATGACAGACGAAAAGGAAGGGGGTAAATGGAAAGAGAGCGCCAAGGATCCGGAGGTGTGGTACAACAAGGTCGGAGGACGGGGCGGCATGGTTCATGAGGAAATGGCACAGGCAGGAGGCGGAAGCGTCCGCGAAGCGCCAGCGCGCGAGGGAAGCAGAAGCAGAGAGTACGGCCATCTCAGGACCGAAGAGAAAGAGAGCCGGCGAAGCGGCGGTGGGGGGGAAGAAACGGCGACCGAGCACTGCTGTAGAAGCGAGTAGGGCGGCCGAGGCAACACCTGTGGCGAACTATGTACCCGGCTGATGTTGTTGCGCCCTGTTTGCCTCCCTGCTGTATGCTATACTCCTTTATGTATGTGCTTTGTATTGCCTTCGGCCTCTGTGCTGTGTTTGTTTTTTTCATGTCCTCCCTGCCTGCTCTGCTGTGTTGGGTACCTTGATCTCGCTTTTGCTGTTGCTTTTGTTTTTGTACATTTGGCTGTCTGCCCATCTGCCGCCTCTTTGTCTTGTTTGCTCCGTTACTCCCATGCCCTGGTGCGTAGTGCCTGGTGCTGGTACGTTACCCTTTGATTTTTTCTTTAGGCGGGTGTGGGAAGCGTCCTCCTTTCTTTTATTTATTGTTTTATTTTGATCGGTTTCCGAGGGCTCTTTTCTCGAACGGTCGGTCCGGTTTGTACCCTATTTTTGTTTTGTTTCCCCGCGGCGTCGTATGTGCCGGGTTTTGAGACCACGGGCTCCCCATTTTTTGTGGACTATACAGCTAATGTGAGAAACAACAACAGAGGGCTTTTGTTGTTTTTTCATGACAATGCCTGCCCGGGGAATGCATATCCAGTAGAGGTGCCTCTTTCCCGTCCGGGTAAAACGAGAGTATGCAAAGACGGCTCGGCGTGGTGCTCAGGCTGCCAGGGAATAGTTGCGAGGGTCGGCTCTACTAAATACATAGCTTAGCTGGCGCGAGCGAGAGTCGTGTCACATCGAAGGGAAGGGAGGACCTAGGACGTTTCGTTGGGACCACTAGCCGCCTAGACCAGGGCCAGCAGCAAGCAAATATTCATAGCCATGATATATAAATTACAAACCTTGTGCCACCGTTGCCCGTCTCCCTCTCCCACCGACCCATTTTCGCACCGAACACCTTGACGTATTCTGCGTCTGTTCTTGGCGGTCTTCTCTGTCCACTATTTAGTCAACAGCGCACCCCTTGAATAATAACTTCGCCCCCCCCCCCCCCCC